AAAGGAGGGAGGCAGAGGAGAGAGAAAGGAGGGAGGCAGAGGAGAGAGAAAGGAGGGAGGCAGAGGAGAGAAAAAGGAGGGAGGCAGAGGAGAGAAAAAGGAGGGAGGCAGAGGAGGAGAAGGCTAAGATAGAAGAGCAGAAACTCAACAAGCAGCTAGAAGAGAAAAGACATATATTGCAAGAGACAAAGGTACAAGCAGGAAAGGTAGACGACAAAAGAGATGGGAAGTGGGTAAATGAAAAGAAAGTGCAAGAAGATAAACTGCAGACATCTGTCCTAAAGAAACAGGTACAGTAAACATTTTGCACCAAATGTGTGATGCCTGTGACTTATGAGAAATGTAATGCACACGGAACTGAGGCCACATGCATACAGCCTGCGTGCTTGATCATTTGGCGAGCTATTCATTTTTTCAGGCCATAGCAATATGCAAGCATGAAGCAAGAGGTTGATGGCTAAACATTTAATCAGCCAAATTTACTGGGACACCCAGAGAGAAACTAATTGCTCTGTGCTTGGTTGTTATGAGTACCAAAAAATGAATCAATGCAAAGATAATATATGTGGTGGTGCTGTGTTGACTTAATGGTTCTTTTCATCTGCATCTAAACTCATTCTTTTTAACATCTTCCCTCTGTTTATAGGTCTACACGAGGCAAGAGGCTCATAACACCTCACCTCATTTATGTGTCTGATATTCAATTAAAAATTTATAAAAATTGGGATGAGAAACTGACAAAAAGAATACTAGTTAAGGCGGGCGCGGTGGCTCACACCTGTAATCCTAGCCCTCTGGGAGGCCAACGTGGGTGAATCACCCGAGCTCACCAGTTGGATACCAGCCTGAACTAGGGTGAAATCCCATCTCTAAAAATAGCCAGGCATTTTAGTGGGCGCCCATAGTCCCAGGTACTTGGAGGCTAAGGCAAGAGGATCACTTGAGCCCAAGAATTTGAGGTTGCCCTGAGCTGTGACGCCATGGCACTCTACCAAGGGCAACAAAGTGAGACTCTGTCTCAAAAAAAAAAAAAAAGTCAAACCATTTCATCTCAAGAAGGCAAAAATAAATCCCCAGAAATTAACTGGTAATTAAGTGGGGAAGGGAGCTGGTTGAAGCCTTTTGTTTTACAGTGTCAGAAGCCTGCTTTGCCATCATGTAGACCTGAGTTTAATTAATGGAGACTTGCAGAAAGCCATTCATCTGGGATAGTGTCAATTTAAAACTGATTGATAATTAAGAGCACACATTTTGCTTCTTTCACCGTCTGGATGACACTATTCCTGTAGCCCAAGGAAAGGTGAAAATAGTTGGGGTGAGGGGAGTGTTTGTAGGGTACAAAAGATATTTTTTCCTATCTGCAAGACTGCATTGAAAGCATGTACCTAACCACTACTACCATCACCCTCCCCCCAAAAAAAGAAAATGAAAAAAGAGATGCTTGCACATTCACCTTTCCTGAGCAATCTCTCTCTAAGTCTGCCCTGCACTGATGTTGTCAATCACTCCTGCTCGCGAACACAGCTGTATTTGAGATCGTGAACAAAGCACACCACCCCACACACAAGGTTTGTAAACACATACCGGCAGCGCTGCGTGGTGCCAGATTTCAGTGAGCACAGTGGCAGGCACATGAGAAAATGTAGGCAGAAAGCACCCACGTCGCCATTCAGCACCCTGGGCACGGAGGGGCAGGTGAGCACAGACAGAGCCGCAGAGAAGCCCTCTGCACTGCACTGCGTGCACAGGGAGCTGAGCACTTCTCACTCTTAGAAGCTAGAAAGGGCTTCTTTTACACGAGTGACGTTGCCATTCTTGAAAATAAAAAGGAAGAAGAAAGGGGAGCTAAAATACAAGCCAAAAGAGACAAGTCCCAGGAAGACAAGCCCACCTTCAAAAAGGAAGAGGTAAATGTGATTGAGAAGTACTCTGATCGTGTAGTGACAGAGAGCAGTGTCCACACACGTCGGGTCTGACAGTCTCTACCCTGTAACCTCCCATCCAGTGTTTTCCAAGCCCTGGCTCATGACTCATGAAATGGTCAGACAAGCTCAGAGTATCTTAAAATCAGTCAAATGTGTCAATTGGCATTTTAGCAAAGTGAAATGCAATACAAAGCGTCCAAGAACATCATAGGTAGTAAATATTGCGTTGTCATATAAATTGCCTTTCTTACTGTGGGTGAGAAAGTCAAGTCAAAGAGGCTTGGGAAACATTGCTAGAATCATCCTCTCCTGCTTTCTACTCTTCTGAGTGCTATTTTTCCCCCTTGAGCCATCCTACTTTCACTACAAGTATGAAATATTTCCAATTGGCCTTGATTAATGCTTTAACTTTTCAAAGGAGAACTATCCTCACACATCTCAGTAGAAAATTTGATGAACTGAAGATGATGTTTGGTTTCCAAAAGAAAAGTGTGGCCATATGTTCTGCATTGCATTTCTGAGGCACACACGGGAACAGGTGCCGGGGTGTGTGACCGTGGGTAAGTGAACGAGGCAGGGGACCAAAGGCTGATGCGGCTAGAAGGTCATGGCACTTGGAGGTACTCAGAATGTCACATAGGAACACCTCACCTCATTTTAACCATTGTGCTTATATAAGCCCCAAAGAATCCTAAAAATTGTGACTATAGCTACTAAGTTCATAGCACTTGAACGTGATAAAACCGAATTAGCAGAGGTAGGAGGACTTGAATTACTTTGCCTAGAGGGCTGGTGATTTGCAGCCCTTGAGTGCCAATCAAATGGGCTCCTGCTACACTTCCCTGCCTGGTGTGGCCTTTATTAAGAAAACCCAACATTTTAAACAGAAAAATCCATAGTTAGGAAACAGATAACTAGATTAAATAAGGGATTTACTTTCTTAAATATTTTTCATAAAATGCATGTGAAAATGAGAACCTTTAGTTCATGTTCCTCCCTGTTTCTGATAGAACCTGTGGTTTGGGAGTGAGAATTGAATGGGAGTAAGCCCTGGCCATCTGCGGGAAGGAGGCAGTGCAGATGCTAAGAACTGAAAACGGAATTTAGCTCTCCCGGGGTAGCTAAGGGAATAGTGGAGCATGTTGGGAAACATTGTTTTCATTTTCTGACAGAAGAACACCGTACAAAGTCATCTACCAAAACAAAAAAAATGGAAGTCACTTCAGCGCTAAATTTAAACAGAAGTGTCCCACAGGGGATCTTCTAGAAAGTTCCTGGGGGAATGTCTGACTCCAGGAGGAAGCAGGCCTAAAGTGATGACTCAATGCTTGAACACCTGGGGGAAGGGAGGCTATACGAAATAGCTTGGGAGTTCTATATTGAAATTTTCATTCAATTAAGATCAAATTTGTTTTCAGTGACCAAAGCGTTGTGGGCCTGCGCTGGAGAGGGCTCACAGGCTCCCCGGGAGTAATCGTTCTGCCTCCTTTCAGATAAGGCCCCAGTCCAGCAGCGTCCACTCCTGGGAAGGATTTGATACCTGTCCCTTTCTCAACTTGCCCTGCAGCACATTCCATTTTTACACAAGGCCAGAGACGCTCCTCAACCCACACTTAAAAAAAAAAATATCTGTGTTCCCCCTTTTAATATTGTGTACATGAACTGCGGGCTCAAAGACTAAGTTTTCTTTCCCCTTTCCCCCAAGCTGTGTTGTTACTTTATGTAGGCAGCTTTAAATCAGGTTTAAAATGATTCAGCCATTTTAAACAACTTCTTTTTCTATTCCTTTTTGTTAAAAAAAAAAAAAAAAAAGTAAACTCTCCCTTCCAGGGACCTGTGCAACTTGGGCAACTAAGCACAAATACCATGTGCAACTTCTTAGAGAAATCATTTCCAGAGATCAGGCCCCCGTCTTCAAACAAACAAACAAAAACGGAAAAGCTGTCCTTCTCCGCTGCAGATAGATGGCCAACCTTGAAACTTAGTTTAGCTTTCTTTCAGTCCTCTCCAATTATAAAGAGCCCCTTTTAAGTTTTTCACCCAGGACTTTTTTATTTTGGGGGGTTTTTTATTTTGTTTTTTTGTTTTGTTTTGTTTCTGATTTCTAACAGAAAAACAACATTAAACTTTAATCTAAAAAACTGTAGCTGGTACCCAGCCTTTAAAGCTATTCTGGAATCAAATAATGCAGTGTGTTCCAGACTCACATCTCAATCCTTTTCAACCTGCTCCTTTAACTTTTTGAGTATTTGTTTAGCACAAGAATTTGTCACTTCCCCCCACATACCCATGTGTTGGTCCATTGGCTATTCCGCACATCCAGAGTTTTAAAATCCAGATCATGCCCTTTGCTCAGGGCCTTTCTTAAGAGCATGCCAATGTTGTCTGTGTATAACGCCCATGAACCCTTTCAGGATACTCTGTTACCTGTCAACCCCTCAGCACAGATTTCCCTCATGGTGACACTCTCACCTAGAAGGCCTAATGCCTTTCCCAAGGGGCACAGAATCCGATGGAGTTGGCTTGGCTCTGCCACAGAATTCAAAAATAAAACGTAAAGGCTCTATGAAAGCACTTTATTTATTTATTGCCCAGAAAGAGAAAATAGTTTTCAGTCAAACTCAAATCATCATTATTGCATTGAGAATGTTTCTAAGAGAGTTTCCCAAAGGCAGATAAGCCTACCATGCACTAAGACCCTGTGCCAATAAAGGCGGATCTTCAATTAAAAAAGGGAGGGAGGCCTATCTTTCTTCCGTTAGCCATGTATTGTTTTATAAATCTGTTTTAAAGACATTTTGGGGCCAGTAAATCAGATGACACATTTTGGGAGTTTGGAAATATTTTAGCTGCAAAACAGGAGAAATAAGTTTAAGGGAATTTCTCTACATACAGTGAGATTTGACTCAGAATTTGTCTTAGGGATAACCCTGAAATGGAGCCCCCTCACCTCCAAATTCACATCCCCAGATACTTCTTAACCAGAATATAAACTCGAGTCCATGGTGACTGGGGCTAGACCTCACCATGGTGGGCCACAGTGAGAATACACTCTGCTTCCTCCTGCCTGTCTAAGGAACACCACTTTATTTGGGGGCAGGGACGGCCACCAAGGAGCCACAGTCAAGCTGCACTGCAAGCCAGGCTTCTGTCTGCTGTGACCTCTCTCGACCAACCAGGAGCCAAGAGGGAAATGACAGGATGACAGATTAGGATGGGCTTCTCGACTCCAATCCCAACTTTTCACATACATAGGACCAGCATCCCCAAGAAGTTAGGTGACTTGTTCAAGTAACACAGCTGGTCTGTTGACAGCACTGAAACCAAAAGTCAGATTTCCCGACAGGCAGACAGAGCTCTTGGAGAGAATACAAAACACAGCTCTCCTCTCCAGAGTGTGTCCAAGGAACATCTTAGGTGCATATACCCCAGAAAAAAGCTAGAGTCTTAACTAATTGGGGCAGCACAGTCATGAATAGTTCATCATAGTAATGTAATCAAAATAACCCCCAAATAACAAAATGGAAGAACTGTTGAAGGCTCATCAGTAAAGAGCAGAAACCATGTACTCTTCTTGGTAAACATGCACTTTAGGAGGTCAGAGGGTATTTGAAGAATAAGTAGAAAGAGGTGAGTGAGCAGGCCGGGAGGAGCACCCCAGACAGCAGCACCTGATCCCTAAGTTCGTGTGGCCAACCCTTCCTCCTAGGTTTCTTTAGAACACCAGTGCTTTGTAACTGTGTGTTTTGAAAAGAATAATCATGAACCTCACCTGTTTTCACACTCATCTTTTAAGAATGGGTGAGATGATAGGTGAAGTAATTTGAACTCCTCTCCCTCCTCTGCAAAAAGCTACATGAATTCAGTTTATTTTCAGTTTACCTGGCTCATTTACCATGCGGAGCACAAAACTCACAAAGTATTACGGCCCTCCGTGTGTCATCTTCTGTCTCCCAGAAAAATCACCAAACTACTTCCCGAGGACTAAAGTCTTACTGGCAATGAAAGCCACGATAAACTCTGCAGTATTCCCTATTCCATGCTCCCTGTAATGGTTTAGGTGACTGCAAACGTGACCCTACGAATCCCATATCCCTCAAGTCCTCCTCCTAAAGGTAGGGTTATCGTGTGTCCCATCTTGGGGACCTGATTACTCATTTGATAAAAATACAAGTAATGAGCTTGGCAGATTTAGCTAACCTTGGTTATTTAGCTAACCTCCTCTTTTCTCCTCATGTGTGTTCTTCTCAAAGATTCTCTTCTCCGAGAAGAACCCTGTCCAAGCAACCTGGCCATTCTTACACCAAAGCCACTCTAACAGTAAATACTCTTCCCAGTGGAAACTGTAAAGAGCTCACATGAAGTTTACAGACCCAATAGATTCCAAATGGTAACACTCATACCACTCTTAAAAAATTAAAACCCCAGTGGGGTCAGGGATGATCTTGCCTTCCTAAAATGTGGTCAAGGTCTTTTATTCACAGGCTAATGGACCATAGCTCAGACTCTAAGAATTTCCTCTGACCCCAACTCTACCACGCTGGTTTGCTTTACCTCTGAGTTTTCTGGTTTCCTGACAAATTTTAGGTCTTACTTGGTGATACTAACCAAAATCTAATAAGTTTTTTTTTTATCATTATGTTTCTTCCTGGTATTTACTATTGGTTAGATCAAAGATGAGAAGATTAAAAAGGACAAAGAGCCCAAAGAAGAAATTAAGAGCTTCATGGATCGAAAGAAAGGATTTACAGAAGTGAAGGCACAGAATGGGGAATTCATGACTCACAAACTTAAACATGCTGAGAACACTTTCAGGTAAGGAGTAGTGACTAGTTAACAGTGACTGTTCACATGTAGGGGGAAAGAAAATGAGTCTCCCAGTGACTGTCCAGAGCCTCCAGACAGAAACGTGCTAACCAGGCAACATGCTTTTGTCGTGAGGTCAGTAGCCATTGTCTCAGAGATCCTCAGTCAGCAGGTCGAGCACTCGTATCACTAACAGAAGACCAGCAGTCACCACTCAGACAGGGCTTAATCTGCTTTTCCCATTATTCTAAAAGACAGATCGTGCTTGGTGTCCGTGTTTTTTTTCACTGACCTAATATGCTCATGTGAGATCGGTTTATTAGGAAACATTCTGACTGGGGTTAGTATCATTGATTTGCTTTCTATATATGGTCTGACTACCTTTACAGAAACTCTTGTCAGTACTTCTTTTTTTTTCCTTTTTCTTTCTTTCTTCCTTCCTTCCTTCCTTCCTTCCTTCCTTCCTTCCTTTCTTTCTTTCTCTTTTTCTCTCTTTCTTTCTTTTCTTTCTTTCCTCTCCTTTTCTTTCTAATAAGTTTATTGTTTTTGCCTGAAAACTCCTGAGAGAAAATCGCTGTTTCGTTCAGCTTTCAGCAGCCCACTCCTGGGGTCTGTGGAAATTTGCCTTCTTTTGAGCTACCTGATCTTTCTTCTGGGCAAGGGACATTTGGGGACAGTTCCACTTCTTCTTTTTAACTTCTTTCTTGGGCTTCTTCTCACAGAGTGGACCATCTCATATAGCAACACAAGCCTTCTTACACACCTCCCATCACATCTGGGGTAACCTTGTTCTTTATGTCTTGAGAGAAGTGTTTCTTGTTCTCTTCATCTTCTCCCAATAGATAACTCATATATTCCCATGATACTCTTCCAACATACTTCAGCATTGAATTCCTGGTTTTCAGAATCATAACCAGGGGATAGTTTAGTACTGTGAGGGATGGACAAGCCTCCACCTGCAGCTCCCTTCAGGGCCCCAAAACCTTTATTGCCAGTGGGAGTTGTGACAAGACCTGCACAACTCCCACTGGCAGTAGCATGCAAAAGCTCCAGGCTGGCCACCAGTGCTTTCCACACTGTGTCCATCTCCAGTCACTTCCACTTGGCCTTCAGAGACCTTGTCCATGCCAAGCCTTTTGAGAAGCCTACGGGGCCAGCAACAGGCCAAGACAAGATGCCTCACACCATATTCTGGTAGTTTATGTGCAAATGCTGCGTAGACTATCATTTCCCCTTCTGTATGGACTTAAGCAGTCTGACAAATGATATCCCTGTTAGTGACATGAACTATCATTCTGTATTTGAGTGTGTTGTACTTATTTTTATCCTCTATCACAAGCATTCCTGAGCATAGTGATCAGTTTTACTCTCTCATAGTTTTCTCAGTTTCACTTGGTGTCTCTTAAAGCAAGCCTTATTCTTGACAATTTTAATGAACCCCATCCTGTGTCTGCAGCCCCACACAGGCTTACAGGCCCAACAGTGCTAGGTGGGGAGAAGGAAGCCTCAGTACCATTTTCAAGAATGAGTCTTCTGAAAGTTGCAACTAAATGTTGCATAAAGCTAAGATTGTTCTGCGCCAAATACCTGGGAAACATTAGGTTAAATTAAACTGATCAGATCTCTTTGCCAGGGGACTTTGAGAGCCCTTAATATTAACTTGCATTGACACTCTCTAAGAGGGAAGGAGAGGGCATGGAACTACTGTTCCCTGCCATACAGTTTGAAAACCTTCTATATCTTCAGCTTCCCTCTCCCTCCACACCTATGGAAAATCTGGGCAATTGGCTATAAGACAGACTAGACAAGGATATGTAGGTAAATTCTCGTTTCGAGATACAAATGAACACTGAGAGCTCTCTACCAGTTTTGTAGAAGGATTTAAGGTGCAGAAGCCTCCCACGGACACTGCTCCATCCCCACACACTCCTTCTAATCACTGGTGCCAAATACCAACTTCTGTTATGTCTCTGGCTACTGTGCCTGATGTGCTGGAAGAGTCTTGGGTTCCTGCAACATGGATTTCCATGGGGTGGTTCTTTGAGCCTTGTCTGTAGACCCTGTTTTTCTGAACACTTCAAATAAGCAAGTTGCCAGCCAGAAGGTATGATGTAGAAGTTTGAGAAGCACCTTACACCAAAGCTTTTGTACAAGCAAGTAGAGCTACTGAGGTCCTTCAAAAGGCTAATATGGATACATATAGTTGTCCCCAAACAGGTTTTCTACACAAAACTATGAGCAGAAACCTAGTCATATTTATCCAAAGGAAAGCCAAAAGTAACACAGTAGAAAAGGTGTGCGTGAAAGGTCTAAATACAACTGCAAAGGATGAAGAAAGGTAGCATCTATGCACACTCTTTGGGATTGGCAAGATAGTAGATGTGAAAACTAAGAGTTCATTGGAAATTCACAGAAAATCTACAAAGCAAGTTGATTCAGCTTGGGAAGCTGAGTCCAAATCTTGCTGGAATGTCTGTGGTTTAATATTTTAAAGCCCTAGAATAGTATCAAGTTCATGAAAAGTGTTCCATGAATATTACCTAATATTGCTGTTGTTTAATTGACAGTTTAAAGTACGTTTTATAGGCATCAGGTTTTTTTAAGGTGTTAAGTTTTATTTTTGTTAGGAGAAATAATGTTTGAAAAAACTCTGTGGGTAGAAAAAAGTTCGGTTAACAATTAGCAAACCTGCCAGCAAACTTCAGTTAAAGCTCAAATTAATTATTAACATGCCTATTGTGTAGAAATCCAAAGAGCTAGGAATTCAAAGAAAAGGAGAATCCCAAGAGATGGCAGCAAGATGAGCACCGAGAACCCAGGCATGTGGCTCTGGCCTTCATTTTTCCATCTTTGGGCAGAAAAACAAAACCAAGAACAAGCTGCTACCATAGTACTCATTTTGGTTTAGCCACCAGCTCATGTAGGTTTTAGTCTCAATTAGAAGTTCATGCGGATAGAAACACAGAAGCATGGCTTTCCTTCATGTACGTATAAAATGAGGGAGAGGGGAAGGATGAGCCTCTGCTTAGATCTGGTACCTCCTAGCCTGACTATAGACAAGCTGTGTTCTTCATAGTCAAAGCCTGATGTTCATCTTGACTTAAACCTACAGGAGCCGAGGATAGGGGAGAGAACTGGATGGAAGAAATTTCCATATTAAGTAGCACCCTAATGGTGAGGGCATGCAGGCACATATAGGCAGAGGTAACACGGACAAAACTCCTGTCCCTATTTTGAGCATAGCTCCTTAATGTTTGATTTAATTATTGCCCCCTTTGATCATCCTGTTTTCTTATAACTAGATGGTTTTCTCTAAAATGTGGTATAAAAATCTCGATTTGATGAGCAAGTTATAGAGATAGCAGATTATACCAAGGGTGTTACAGAAAGCATAAAATGAGAATTTGGTCTTTTCAAGGTGGGAATTAAACAGCTTTTTTCTGATTATAGAGAAAAAGTATTGATTATAAAACACTCAGAAAATAAGATAAAAATAAGCACCCACTACCTAAAGATAACACAAGCAACATTTTTTCCAGATAAGGCATATAACATTCAAGATAGACACATGCACATAAACAGAGGTTGCCAAAAAATGTATACACATTTTAAGACAGGAAAAAACTACTGAAATTGTAATACTGATTATATACCGATAACAAAAGATGAATACAAGTCATGCCGAGCACCTCTTGTAATTGCGGAAGCCAAACATGACTTGAGAATTATAAATTTAATACAGTTTTTTTTTTCCTTTCTTAAAATGTGTATACTTCTTTTGGCACCCTGTCTCTATATATGATGTATATGTGTAGGTATAATTATAAATACAGTAGAACCTCTGTAAGTTGACCACCCAAGGAACTGTAACAGACTGGTCAACATATGGAGGTGGTCTGAACATAAGGAACGAGGCCTTATACATACACTGACACGTACATGTGGTACCTGTCTAGTCAATGAAACTTAGGTCAACCAAGGGAGGTGGCCAACTGTGGGGGTTCTACTTTATGTATTTTAAATTAATTCTTGCGCCATGCATAACAATATATTATATACCTAGCTTTCTTGCCAATAAATATAAGCCTACAATTAATGATGTTAGAGTATTCCACTGAACAGATATGACTTATTTAACCAATCCCTAGTAAGAGATGTTCTGATTGTCCAAAACGAAGACCGAGCGACACCTAGTGGAATCTAGAGATGTGTTCTGGGGGCCTGTGTGTTGCTGTCGGCTCCTATCCAGCACGGTGAACACAAAGGCACACTTGGTTTTGAACAGGAAGTTTGTAAATTAATTGAGAAAGGAGTCACAGGCCTGTGAACTTTTAACACCCTGAAAAAGAAACATGAAGTTTAAGGGGACGCTTAACTTTGAGTTCAAAATAAAAGAGTTCATCCCTAGCTGTCAAGAGCCTAGAGCACAATTTTAAAACTTTTTAACCTAAAAAGTGCTCTAACACAAAGAGCACACTTGGTTTTGAATGGGGAAATTTTAAATTAATTGAGAGAGGAGTCACAGGCCTGACTCCTGAAACTGAGTTCTAAATAAAAGAGTTCATCCCTAGCTGTCAAGAGCCTAGAGCACTATTTTAAAACCTTTTAACCTCAGCCCTTAGTAATAAATAAATTTGACATTACAACCCAGTACATACCTACATATATGTGCAAATTAATAACTGAAACAAGTGGATTGAGAAAATGGCATTTCTGCTGTATGCAATCCACATTAATTTCTTTTCTGTTATTGTTTTAAATGCCAGTTACAATCCACTAAATTGATTTTCTGACCTATAGCTTGAAAAACATTGTCCTGGAGGAAAGAGTATATTCAAAACTACCTCATTGTTTAAAAAGCATGATATATACACTATAAAATTAATATCGTATGATGTATATTTTGAACCCATCTTTTATTCCTCTTGCTCTGTAGCTGTTACAGAAACACTGTCCCATTCTTTACATGGAACAAATGATATTAAAGAGTGATAATTCATTTATTCCATTGACAAAAGTGTCAGGAATGGGCTACCTATGTTCAGATGTAGTAAAGACCTCACTGCTATCTAGTAAGTAATTAAATAACAACAAGCTATATTCTCTTAAGACTATTTATAGCCAGGCCCTTTGAGCACACCATTAAATTCTCCTGAAGTCCCAGGAGTGGAAAACTGGGTTCCACTGAAGTTCTACTTTGTGTTTTTGAAATTATCAACGTTCTCACTCTAGTAGGTGGCAAATTAACTGAAGGATCTTAAGGGGTCAGTAGGTGTTCATGATACCTAGCCATCTTTTGATATGATTTGTGTAAAATAGTAAGAATACGAGTTATGGTAGAAGTTTTTAACATGAGGACTCTTAGGATAGTTTTTTGTCTTTAGCTGTAACATTTTCTAATCCTGCAATAAAATCCCCTCTGGGCCCTCCTAAATCACAAAAGTAAATTCAACCTAATTTCAATTTTAGTTCCTACTTATAAATCCTTGCCCATTTTCTCCTGTTTTATAAGCTCTGCTGTCTGATGAAGCCTTCCTACCACTCAGGCAAGAAGGTAGCTGTATCTAGACTGCAGAAATTCTAGGAAAGCAAAGATAGGAAACATTCTTCACAGGTTTGGAGGTTTGGGGTAAAGGGTAGGGAGATGGGCAGATGTTTTCCATTTCAATTGATTCAGTATTTTATAAGAACTCATATTTAATTTCAGGTATAGTTATACTATAGTGGCAAGAAGAGTACACCTGGTGGAGAGGCATTAGAATCTGGTCATGGGTCCACGGCTTTCTAGCTACCAAAAGTACATAGTTGACCACCTCCCTACATTGACCACCTCCTTATGTTGACCTAATTTTCATAGACTAGACATGTGCTACGTGTATGTACCAGTACAGTAAGCCTAGTTCCTTACGTTGACCAGTTTGTTACAGTCCCTTGGGTGGTCAACTTACAGAAGTCCCCTTATTCATAAGATGAGATAATAAACCCAACCTGCCACCTTCCATGTTACTGTGGCTGTTAAATGAGATAATGGCTATGAAAGAGCCATTTATAGAGCATAAAGAATGACATTTAAGTAACAACCCTAACCACATCATTTAAAGCTAACTTAGCAGTTTTAAGTCCTTCTAAGGAGTATTTCAGTTGTGTTGGGTTGAAAATACACCAGTTGAAGCCCTAGGTTTAATGCACAGCCATTAAGAACTTTCCTGGAGCAGCTCTGTAAAAGTAGACATATATTACTGGGCTTAGCTCTTAATCAAGAGGCAATGGGTAATTTCATCTGACAGAGATCAACTGTGGGAGTCAAGCTAAAGACAATGTTGTGGATAGAGACAGATTTATTTCAGTGCTTACCCCTGAAAGGTTCAGCCATCTTTCCCATTCCCAGTGTCTGAGCCTTTCCAGGCTTCTTGCAGGCAGATCCAAGCTAACCAGTGACTTATGGGAGAGGATGAATAGGGCCATGCCTAGATTTTAGGACTCAGATAACAGTAATGTTTTGGACCACAAATAGCAACTAACATATAGAACCTCTGTAAGTTGACCACCAAGGACTATACTAAACCAGTCAACATACAGAGGTGGTCACCATGTGGCGCATGTCCAGTCTGAAAATTAGGTCAACTTAAGGAGGTGGTCAGTGTGGGAAGCAGGTCAACTATGGAGGTTCTACTGTATTTACACTGTAGATGATACATACATTAACAATGATAAAATATATAATGCTAATATGACCCATGGAGATAAATAGAATAAATAGTATTACCCTCATTTTTTTCCATGTTGTGGACTGTTTCATGGTTCTTTTTAAAATTGTAGTAAAAAACACATTAATATGGAAATTTCTCATCTTAACCATTTCTAAATGTACATTCAACAGTGTGAAGTGTATTCACATTGTTGTGCAACACATTTACAAAACTCTTCATGCAAAACTGAAATTTTACGTCCATTCAACAAATTATTCCCTACTCCGCCTTCCCTGTCCCCCACCCCTGATAACTACTCCTCTACCCACTTTCTGTCTCTATGAGTTTGACTTCTTCAGATCCCCTGTGTAAGTGGAATCACACAGTATCTGGTTTTTTGTCTGGCTTATTTCACAGAGTGCAGTATCTTAAAGCTTTGTCCATGTTGTAGCATGTAATAGGGTTTTCTTTCTTTTCTTTTCTTTCTTTGCCTGTTTTTTTTTTGTTTGTTTGTTTGTTTTTTTGAGACGGAGTCTCCCTTTGTCACCCTTGGTAGAGTGCCTTAGTGTCACAGCTCACAGAAACCTCAAACTCTTGGGCCTAAGTGATTCTCTTGCCTCAGCCTCCCCAAGTAGCTGGGACTACAGGTGCCCCCCACAACCTGGCTTTGTGTGTGGGTGTTGTCATTGTTTAGCAGGCCCCAGTGGGGTTAGAACCCACTGGCCCTGGTGTATGTGGCCTGTGCCCTAACGACTGAGCTACTAGCACCGAGTCTTTCTTTTGAAGGTCAAACAATTATTCCATTGTATGGACGTACCACATTTTGCCTATTTGTTCATTGTATGACGGGTACTTGGGTTGCTTCCCTCTCTTGGCTACTGTGATTAGCTCTACTGTGCACAGGGGTGTACAGATATCTCTTCAAGCCCCTGCCATCAGTGCTGAGTCATACGGTAGTTCTCATTTTGATTTTTGAGGACTTTCCTGTAGTTTTCCATACAGCAGGTACCGGGGTTTTTTTGTTTGTTTTTGCACACCCACCTGCAGTGCGCTTGCCACGGAAGCCTAGGGCTAGTGGCAGATCAGGGCTCCCATTCGGACTCCTGACTCCAGGTGGTCCCCAGCCTGCCCCTGGCTGCCCCCCAACCCCCTCCCCTCCGCACACGGCCCCTCCCCTCCCTCGGCGGAGGCTGCGGAGCTGACCCTGCGACCCCCGCCGTTGTCCCCGCAGCCGCCCCGGAGGACGGCCCGCGGACGCCCGGGAGCCCGACGGCGCGCCCCAGGTGGAGGCTGGCAAGCGGCTGGAGGAGCTTCGCCGCCGCCGCGGAGAGACCGAGAGCGAGGAGTTCGAGAAGCTCAAACAGAAGCAGCAGGAGGCGGCCCAGGAGCTGGAGGAGCTGAAGAAAAAGAGGGAGGAGCGAAGGAAGGTCCTGGAGGAGGAGGAGCAGCGGAGGAGGCAGGAGGAGGCCGACCGCAAGGCGCGAGAGGAGGTAAGCAGCCGGCGCCGCCAGCCCCGGAAAACCTGTCGGGGTGTGGGGGGGGAGCCTGCTGGCCCAGAGAATCATCTCCCCGCCAGGGCCATGGGCTCCTAAAATAAACGCTGAGAACAGTGAACTTGCTGTGTGCTAGGCACGGTCTAAAATCTGCAGACACATTAATTTGTCTAGTGCTCTTAAGAACTCTCTGGTGTGGGTGTTTATCCCCATTTTACAGATGAGCAAATGGAGGCATATGGTGGTTTTGTAATTTTCTTGGGGAAAATTGATCTTAACCTATTGCCCTTTACTGCCTCTCAAAAAAGGAAAATTAGTTTTAAAAGATGGAAGGTTATTATAAGAACTAAGTTGTGTGATACTTGTTTTCTACTGTTTGAATATTTTATATAGAGAAGATTTATTTAAGTCGTTTTTGTTTGTTTTTTGTAATGGACGCATAAGTCAGTTAGAATGTAAACACACAGAGGTGTCCCAAGAGCCCTTGCAGTGCCTGACATGCGGCAGGATCCCTGTCATTAGGAATAGACGGATTTGTCCCATCTTTTAAGACAGAACTCAAAAGGACCAGGAAAGTTATAATATAAATGGGGAAATACTGGCCCAGAATATGCAAAAACGTTTTACAAAGTCTATTCTTTTCTTTCTTCCTAAGGTACATTATTAATCACATTTTATGAGCAAGCTCTCCAGGAATCAAATAATTTGAATGGTTTGATTGGAGAGTCTTGGCTGATAGGTGGAAGAATCAGTATTGGGATCTAGTTTTTCCAAGTATGAGCCTAGAGCTTTTGAGTAGTGATCTCTCATCATTCAAAATATACATGAAAGACTTTCGATGACTTTCTGACATGTAGCTTACACAAACTTTTCCTGAACTATGTAGAATAGTTTGTACATACTATTTCAAGGCATCTCTAGCCCCAACTTTCCATGAGACAGTGATCTTCAGTTGGAAAGTAATTGGGACGATCAGGTGTTAGAATCAAACATTCCTGGTTTGTATCCTAACTCTGATTCTTACAAGCTGGGCCTGTGGAGAGTTGCTGGACTATTCTGTATCTTCTTTCCCTTATCAGCTTTTCAGGACTGTTCCGATGACTAAGTAGATCATTGTATTCACTGTGTCCAGCACGTAATAGACCCTCAAAAGGTGGTAGTTAGTAGTTACCATTATCATCATCATTGTTATTATCATTTAGGGGAGCAGAATGCTGGGGGAGGCCTAAGGAAAGTGAAAAACTCTTTAGACTACTATATTGGACCAGAAGATTTTTTGTTCCACCTCCTACCAAGTACAGCATCCTTCTGCACCATCCTCTGACACATGAACATCTAGTCTCTGCTTGAGAATATCCAGTAATAATGATCTCCACAGTTTAAAAAAATACAAAAGGCTCCATAAATTCCAGAAAAATCATTCATAGAGCACATGCAATTTGATCAGCGCTTCAAATTTTTTGTCTGATGGAGGAGACGGGGCAGAGTATTTTAGTGCAGGAATGAAGGCACAGAGGGGTTAATAGGCACATTGTACACACCTGTGATTTCACCACCGTGGTGCAATGTCTGCGTCATCGCAGGTCTGTCAACCATCTAAAGTAATCTATTCAGTTGCGTGGGGGCAACCACAAAATCATCCCTTGTACAATTCAGCAAATGTAGGACCGTAGATTTACTATATATCATGTTTCACATAAGCTCTCATTTGGTTTCACCACTCTCCCAGGAAGTAGGTAGAAGTGAGACATATTCATTTTTCATACACAGAAATGAAGTTCAGTATTGAATGACGGGAGAGTGGTGACGAGGATCACCCTCATGGGGATCAGCACACTGAGCATTTGTCTAAGCATTTCGCAGGTGCTTTCTCATTTAGTGCTGAGGAAAGCCTTTGCCGTGGCTACTGCTAATATCCCTGTTTTACAGAAGAAGAAACTGAGGCACAGAGCAGCTAAATAATATGGCCAAGGTCACCTCATTGGGAAGTGGCAATGCCAGGCTTTGGTTAGACCTGGAGGGGGAGTGTCCATCCAGTCTAGGCGGGAGTCTGCTGCCTCTCCACTGTGCTCTTCCTCCCCCAGCATTCTTCCCTGCCGCCTTGAAGCCGATATTGATATCCCCAGGATTTGTTCTTTCTCCCGTAGGAAGAGAAGAGGAGACTAAAGGAAGAGATTGAAAGGCGAAGGGCAGAAGCTGCTGAGAAACGCCAGAAGATGCCAGAGGATGGGCTATCGGATGACAAGAAGCCGTTCAAGTGTTTCACTCCTAAAGGTTCATCTCTCAAGGTATCTTTTTCCAAGAAAAGCTTCTTATTATAATACTATTATAATAGAAATTTGATTTTAGCCCCTCACTTAGTCACTGATTATTCGGAGCCTTTTCTTCATGCATCCCCTTGCTGTCCTGCATTAATCTTTTTGGGCTGCTATAACAAAATACCTTGGACTGGGTAATTTATTGCATATAGTTCTGGAGGCTGGGAAGTTCAAGATCAAAACGCTAGCAGATTCATTTTCTTTTCTTTTCTTCTCTTTTTTTTATTGTTGGGGATTCATTGAGGGTACAAGAAACCAGGTTATACTGATTGCATTTGTTAGGTAAAATCCCTCTTACAAGTGTGTCTTTCCCCCCAAAGGTGTGCCACACACTGAGACCTGCACCCCCCTCCTTCCCTCTCTCTGCTCTTCCTTCTCCCACCCCCTCCCTCCTTCCCTCTCTCTGCTCTTCCTTCTCCCACCCCCTCCCTCCTTCCCTCTCTCTGCTCTTTCTCCCACCCCCTCTCTTTCTGTCTAGCAGATTCATTTTCTAATGAGAGCCCCCTTCATGACACATGGATGGCCTGCATGGTCTTCTTACTGTGTTTCATATGGTAGAAATAGAGTAAGCAAGTTTTCTGGTGTCTCTTCTTAGAAGAGTACTAATTCTATTGGATCAGGACCTTATGATCTTGTTTAATCTAACTTCCTTACAAGGCCCATCTCCAGATATAGTCACATTGGGGGTTAAGACTTCAACATATGAATTTTAGGAGAACATAATTCAATCCATGATCTTATCTTATTCATTGCTAGATATTCGACTTTTTTCAGAGGTACTCAATATATAATCTATTGCTTGGTTATCTCACTGACAGGTTGGGGCAGGGTTAAGTGTTATCCTGGATGGATGAATAGGCAATATGAGAAGTGCTACTGATTACATGGTTCTAAATAATTTCACCTTGGAACTTTTTCTACAAAAATATACTTCTAAGCTTGTAATTAAAATCAGAAAAATAAGATTTATGTCATAGACCTTTTATATCCCATAAACTCATGGCTATCCATAGCACTTTTTTTGCATAAATTTTTATTTTCACTAAGAGTTTTATTTTTATCTTTGTTAGAAATTATTTGGAAAGAATTAAGTGCCCTTACCAAGACCTATAAAAGTGTTATTCCATCGATATTAGGAGTGAAGCATGTTTTCCAAAAAACATCATAACATTTATAAATTGTTCATGAATCCAAGGCCATACCAGGTCAGAAAGGGGTGTGATAGATTGAATGTTTGTGTCCCTTCAAAATTCATTATGTTGAAAAACTAACCCTCAATGTGATGGTCTCATTAGACTTTTAGGAGGTAATTAGGTCATGAATGGGATTAGTGCCATTATATGATGAGCATAGGAGCTTACTCACTTCCTCTCTGCTCTCCGCTACCTGAGGACACAGCAAGGTGACCATCTACAGACCTGCCAGGAAGAGGGCCCTCATCAGAACCTAAACATGCTGTCAGCCTATTCTCAGACTTTCAAGCCTCCAGAACTATGAAGAGTAAATGTTTGTTATTTAAGCTACCCAGTCTGTGCTAATTTCTTATATTTGCCTGATCTGAGACAAGGGGACACTAACCCACACTGGCCTAGGGTAACTGTAATCCAGTAGATTCTTTGGCTTGCCTGAACAGGGAAGAAAATGCAGCTTCTCAGCAGGGGTGTGTTTTGGTACATGCAGTCATGCAAAGAAGGTTTTACTGAGTGCTGATGTTGATTGGTGATGGGAGGCTGAGGGCATTTCTAGACTTGAAATAGGTATCACTTGGAGTCAACAAGTATTTGGTGACTTATTGTTGACATCTATATTTAAGTGATACAGTTTTAGTACACATAATGTTTTAGCAGCTTTAGGTATAGCAAAAAGAAGTTCTCAGCTTAAAAAATACCTATCAAAAACCACTGAGCCGCCTGCACTGAACTGAGTGTTTAGCATATGTCTATGCCAGTTTCCCTGGGCTTCTTCATTTCCTATGTGGGCTAAAAGGGGCATTATGGGAAGCTTCAGCGGTCGCTGGCGAGTTGTGCCCCATCTTCACTCCACCCCTATCATTCCAGGGCAAATTAAGTTCAACAATAGGCTTGACACTGATTGATTGAGTAAATTAGCTATCAATTTAGTAAATCAGGCTAAGCAATAAGGGACTAGTTCACCTTTCCCGGTTATCATTCTTATTTAATCCTGTTGCATATCAAATATATAGTAGAAATATTGTGGGGAAATTTTGTTAATCAAATACCGGGGTATGTCTGTAGTCACATAAATATGTCCTAAAGGGTAACCACATATATTTTTGAAAAAATTATTGTGTAAGTCTTAAAATTTAATTACTTTGCCCCGATTTATATTATTTCAGAGGCTTTTTTATTCCACATCAATCTGGTCTTTACATTTCTCTGTGCATATTCCCTATCTTCTACCAATCCTACCTTCATCCCCCAAATTTCCCTATCAAAGACCATAAGGTTCCTGTCTAGCAGAGCTGCCGTGCACAGTACCCTAATATCCTTACACATGCTTTAGTGTTTTTATTCACCAGATTTGGGGATGTGACAAATGGCCTGAGAAACATTGTTTATAAGCTGAAAATATGAACTGACATTATTTTCTTTTCAATTCCTAGATAGAAGAGCGAGCAGAATTTTTGAATAAGTCTGTGCAGAAAAGGTAAATGTCATTGTTCAATTGAGAATAGCCAGCTGGTATGTGTATATGGGAAGACCTGCCCCCATATTTTATGTTTGCTTGTATGTGTTTATTTAGCAGTGGTGTCAAATCAGCTCACCAAGCAGCAGTAGTCTCCAAGATTGACAGCAGGCTGGAGCAGTATACCAGCGCAATTGAGGTGAGACTTGTCCTCAGTGTTACAGTCCCACCAAATGGAAATAGATTTGGACTACACAGATCATAAAAACACTTGGGACAAAAATCAAGTCGAGTAGCATGGCTCACACCTGTAGTCCTAACATTCTGGGAGGCCGAGGCAGGTGGATTGCCTAAGCTCAGGAGTTTAAGACCAGCCTAAGAGACCCTGTCTCTAAAAAATAGCCAGGTGAGTGCCTGTAGTCCCAGCTAATTGTGAGGCTGAGGCAAGAGGATCACTTGAGCCCAAGAGTCTGAGGTTGCTGTGAGCTAGGATGTCACAGCTCTCAACACTAGGGTGCGGAGTGAGATTCTGTCTCAAAAAAAAATTAGAATATTAATGATGCTTTATTATAGTTTGAACAAGTTAAAGAGAAGGGCAGAAATACATTTTATTAGAGTTTAAAACCAATTATTGTTTACTGATAATCTTTAATGAAGCAGTTGTTCTTTAATTAAATGGATTTATTGATATTTCATGGTATTATTTATATGTTCACAAGTAAGGATAATTGAGGATATCTTTAATATCCTCAATTCCTTATAGAATGTTTCCCATATGTGGTTTAAATAGGTCCCTTATAACCTTGCTTAATCCTCATTTGCTTACAGAATCTTTTGTTATCAAATAAAAGTAGGAGGACAAAGTAATATAAAGTTGTTAGCCATCCTTTTAACATCATCAAGAACTATCTGTTGAAGAAGGAAAAGTAGAATATCACCTTAACCGAAAATTTAAGGTGATGTTTTTCTTGATGTCTTTTCTTTTGGAAAAATGCTCTAGTCTGGCTCTTCTGGTTTATTCTGAGGGCTGTAAGTCATCGTCATCAGAATGCAGTCTTGAAACAGAAATTAAGGTTCCCATTTGGGGGGAGGGAGCTTTTCAACTGATAGTGTGGAGGAAGACAAGCTTACTATAATTTTTTGAGAACAAACTTGTCAGTGGCTGTCAGAAAAATAATCCGACACGTTTCAGGGAACAAAAACTGCCAGACCTCCGAAGCCAGCAGCCTCGGACCTTCCCGTTCCTGCGGAAGGTGTGCGGAACATCAAGAGCATGTGGGAGAAGGGCAATGTCTTTTCATCCCCGACTGCCGCGGGAACACCAAATAAGGTGAGCGGGAGAGCTTTGTCTTTTACGGTTAGAGAGGGGGATTTTTTTTTTCCCATTTGCTTTTAGGAATCACACTAGGTCAATAATAGAAGCAGTGAAGAAGGTGCAGTTCCTACTTTGTTTTGCACCGACCACACAGGCAAGCTCGGACAGAATGTGTTTACGAGGCTGCACTGTGTGCCCAGCTCTGGCCACTGTAAAGTGCCGGAGGTTAGTTGTTAATCTTGGGGTGGGGGTGGAGTGCGGCACAGAGGGAAGAAAACCAGACAACATACTCTTTAAATATCAAATTTAAGGTTTATGGCTATGTGAGGTAATGCTTAATAGTATTTTGAAGTTGCTTTGAAGATTTCCTTCCCAGGTAAAGTTTACCCTTTTTCTTCAATATTTTGGATGATTGGCTCTTGACAGGAAACTGCTGGCCTGAAAGTGGGGGTTTCCAGCCGTATCAATGAATGGCTAACTAAAACCCCAGATGGAAATAAGTCGCCTGCTCCCAAACCTTCTGTAAGTAGCTGCACGTTTTTTTGAATTTCTTTAATCTCTCAGCTTCCAGCCACAAAAGAAGCAAAAGCAAACAGGCAGTGGGTCTGTGTATCTAGAAAGGACAGTGTTCCCCTTCTTTGCCGTCACTGAAAACAGACAAGGAGTTGTTCAGAACAGCCCTGAACCTCCAAACCACAATCACCCTCAGGCTAAAATGGAACCAAATAATCAACTCTCTGCATTCACTGAGAGGAGTTAGCCAGGAGGTTGAGCAGTTTAAATTTAGACCCTGCACTGGTCTCCTTGTTTAGTTTCTAGGCTATAAATTATAGATAGGCATTTTAAAAGGAGAGGTCAAATTATTTTTGCTACTTCTTTGTCAAGAGTGCCCCTAAACTTATTCCCAGAAAAATGTGTACGTTGGCTATTGTGAACCTTGTGTGCTAATTTGGCTAGTTTCTGTAACTTGACACAAAAATACAGTTCTTGGGTAGTTGTTGAATAATTTCTATAATGTTGCAACGCCTCCAGGGGAAAGTCATAAAACTGGAAACTAGAAAAAATGGTTATGAATGTGGTTTTTGAAAACCTAAAGTTTTTTTTATTAAGTGTGTAGCTATCTTACTAAAACAAACCTTTCTTTTTACCTTTTTATTGAATGTATGATAAATGCAAGGCAGTTATCACTGTAATAAAATACCTTATTAAGCGCCCCACTGTATATTGCTGAGTTTTCTCCATTAAGTTAGCGTTTCTGGATTCTTTTGGTGCCTGAGGCAGCCCCAGAATCAACTGCTATATCCTACATCTGAGAGGAAGAGGAAGAGCTTTCCAAGTCCCAGGCCTCTGTGCCGTTGAGCCACAGAGGTATTTTATTGCATCCATTGGCTCCATATATAATCTCCAAAGTCATTAAATTTTGTCACTTTCCAATTTAAAAAGAAAAAAGACCCAGCAACTTGGGAGGCTGAGATGGGTAGGATCACTTGAGACCGGAAGTTTGATGCCTGCCTGAGCAATATAGTGGGTTGCTGTCTCTACAAATAAATAAAATAAAGTTAATAAAAATTAAAAAGAAAAAAGAGGAGATGCAAATGTTTACATTTGCATGCAACCCCTTGAGCCATTTAATTAATATTCAGTCTGTGATTTTTTTGCATAAGGGTTCACAGGAGATATAAAAATATTTTTCCGTCTCTTGGTAGCTGCAAGAAAGGGCCCATAAAAGGAGCCAGTCAAGGCGGGGGACCATACCGCAAAGATACATGCTCTTTAGTGCCTCGAGTTTCCCTAGCACCTACGGTGACATGAAGAATAGAAATGATTTTAAAAAACAAATAAAACCCCAAAGTGATTGATCTAAGTTCTGTGGTTCCAGATTAGTTATTATCAACTCTTTTGAATTATGGACCCCTTGGAGAACCTAATGAAATTAAGGACCTTTCCCCCCAAACCATGCATATATACGTGAGACAAGTCCAAAGAGTTCATGGACCTGCAGAAGAACTCTCACGATAACAAGAATAAGGAGAAAAAGATAGGTTTTATTATTGGATGAATATGGCACACTGCTATAGATGGCAATTTTTTCATGTTTATAATTTTTACAATCTCTTTCATATCTGTACCAGGTTATACTCATAAATCTGGTCTAGGACTGGCCCCCTGCTCTTTCATCAGTACTTAACTTACCATCATCTATATGCCCCCTTAAGAGGATGGTTAAAAAGATTAAATTCCGTTGTCATTACTATAAATGCAGCTGTGTCAAGGTCTCTACTCTTAAATAAATATGTACATAATACATAAATACATACATAAGTAAAATATTTTCTGGAGTTATTGACAGCTTCCTTAAAATGGGAGGCCAATAAAAGGTATTTTAGAGAAATTACAAAATAATTGCCCTTTCATGTAGTAGGGTGTCCAACTTTTTTTTCTTTGCTGCATGTTAGAAGAATAAGAGTTATCTTGGGCTACACATGAAATATATAAATACTAAAGAAAGCTGATTAGAAAAAAAAGTCTGTGCATACTTTTCATAGTATCTGATACCACGGATAAGTTTTAAAAGTTCTCAAAACCTCATCATGCACAGCCCTGTGAGAAGAGAAGGGGAGGACCAGACTGGATAAAGCAATATGAAATTGATGCTGTATATAAAACACTAGTTTGAGTATATTTAGTAAGCAACTTTAAGCTTTGTGTATGTTTCAGGGGTAGTAGCAACCTATTTTTTCAACCCAGCCCCAGTGGGAAAGTGTGGATAGCAACATGACAGTCGGCACAGAAAGGCAGGAGGGTAGTTCATAGATACTATTCGTTCAACAGAAAAGAGGTGAAGTTTCAGTGATGCAGGAAGGGCTGCAAGGATCCTGCAGGTGCATTAATTTTGGCAGGAAAAAGGTTGAGTCCAGGGAAAGCAACTTGGAAAGACAGGTCAAATGAGGATCCTAGGTCTTGTCCAGAGGGTCTCACAGTAGTGGCTTGCAGCTAAGATCTGGGTAGCTTGGCCCACACAGTTGTGCTTTATTTTCCTTTTCGAAATTGTAACTTGAACACATTTTTGAGGTATGGAGGAATGCACCCTCAAATAGTTTCCCTCTCTTCTTTATTTTCTTACTCCAAGCCTCTTACAGCATTTGTTTCCAGTTTGGCCTTTCATGGCAGGCATCTGAGTTTGACACCCTCGGGACTCTGGCCAGACTGACTCTGAGCCAAGGATGTCAGAGGTTTACCTAAAGACAACAGAAAATAAGACACACACCCCACACACACAAAAAAAGTCTTATTTTGGGCCAAAGACAATTCATTGTCACTCCTTTGCTTATATTCCCTGGTAGGTATGCGTAGCAGAGAACCTTAGGTTTGTGTTTGCAGACATGTGTGGTAGGAGGCCACTAATATGAAATCAGCACAACTTGGACATATCAATTAAAATATGTTTTCAGTGGCTTGGTGCCTGTAGCACAGTGGTTATAGTGCCAGCCACATACACTGAGGCTAGCGGGTTTGAACCCTGCCTGGGCCAGCTAAACAACAATGACAACTGCAACAAAAAATAGCCAGGCATTGTGGCAGGTACCTGTAGTCCCAGCTACTTGGGAGGCTGAGGCAAGAGGCAAGAGAATCGCTTAAGCCCAAGAGTTTGAGGTTGCTGTGAGCTATGACGCTACAGCACTCTACCAAGGGCAACTTAGTGAGACTCTGTCTCAAAAAAACAAAAAAAGTATGCTTTTAGTAAAATTCTAAAAAAAAAACTTCAAAATGAGAGGGAAGCTCTCTCAACAAAATGGTTCTCATCCAGTGAAACACCAAGAAGAAAAAGAGTAATTCCTAGGATTAAAGAGTTGAGTTCTGAAACTCAATCCTCTACCAGGAATTATATAATGAGTTTAATATATGCTAATAATTAAAAGTGCTCAAAATAGTTTGTCACATCAATGTTGTGTGGGGGTCCCTGACATTTTACCTACTTAGAATTAAACAGTATTCTACAGCCGATTCCTGCTGCAACATCTTTTGCTATTTCTGAGTAGAATTCACAGGATTTCAATGTAACTTTGTGTAACAGGAGTTCAGCTCCTAGTATGTCTGTCTATTTTAGCTGGTTTGTCTATTCTTTATGTCTGAACTGCATGTGGTACAGCCATTAAGAAGCTAATTTTTCTTTCTTTTTGTTTAAAAAAACCCAACCATGTCTTTCTCAGCTGACTTCTGTTCTTCACTCTTTGGTCTCTGGTTGACTGGAAACCTGCTTCTCCTGCCTTCATTTCTCCCTCTTCTTCCGGAGTGGGTCTTTCTCTAAAGTGTAGTCTGGTCAGGTAATTCCATTTATATTTCCCTTTTGATTTAAAGTGCCAACTTATAACTTAGATTTTAATATTTTCTTCAGAAGACTCTTTAAACTCTTTAAAGGCTCTCTTAAGGTTCATCAGCAAGAGGTATGGGAAATGCAATCCATTTTCTTAGGTAAAAGAACATTCATGCGAAAGAAACATATTTGTCTCAGATGAATCAAAGTAAATAAAGTGATAATAGCCACTTTCCAGAACTTCCATCAGCATGGTCCTAATTATAGTTTCCAAAATTCTGAAACAGTCTTCCAGACAATTTGGCAACTTTGTACCTACACTGGCAAAAGTAGTAGAATTCTCCAGGAATAATCTGATTTGTTGCTTTATGGTTCCAAGTTAAATAGGTGTGACGGGCTAATAGAATATCAGGAATTCTTGCCACAGAGGCAAATCCAGAAACTCAGTAAGATTAAGACAAACCTGAAATGCTGCCCATGGTACCACCTGACTGTGCGTTTTCAGTGTTGCGCTCTCAATCCTGTCTATCGGAAATATGTCCATTTAGATCAGCGTCCATGTGGATAAATGCGATTGCTATTAGCTTTGCCTTCCTCCAGAGAAAAGGGTTTGCCAAAATAAGCATTACTATTCAGTAAAACACATTTATTTTCTGCAACCTACCTTTTGCCAAGTGCTAATATAAGCAACTGGTGGAATAAAAGTAACTTGAAACAGAAATTTGGATCATTATCCAAACAAAATTAATTATGAGGTAGTAGTAAATAGAGACTCAAAGCTATAAAAGGTTGTTGACCATATTTTAGAGTTTGCTTCCCAGGATTTCCAGATGTTCTTACAAACATCATCCATTGTCAGTTTCCCTTAGGGGTTTAAATGGTGATAAATGTTTGTATTTGTGAGGCGAGACTCTAATCTACTTCTGAATTACCTCCTTGGCGCTCAGGAAACACAAAATTGTTTCAGTGTGAGGAAAGTGCAATTAGAAAAGTGGCTGAGTTTGAGCTACACAGAAGCAGACCTTGGGACAGTGATTCTAGTGCAAGGAAGTGACTCGGGAGGTGAAGACGACATGACAGGAAGTGAGATGGGGAGAAGGCGGCAGCCAGTGAGGAATGTTATCAAGCATCTCACTACCTGAGCTACTAAAACTTAATCCCACTGGAGAAACCCTGGAGGCCACTATCGAACACACCCTTCCCAGTGATCCTACCTGGGGCGGGGAGTGAGCAGGAGAAACGTTCTTGCACCAACTCTCACCAATCAGCAATCTCAGGACTGCTCCTGGGACTGTTAACTCTTGGGGCTTCCAGTCTGCCTCTGAGGGAGGGGTAACCAAAAGAAAGTCAGTCCGCAAGGGGGCAAATGCTTATCAAACCCCAAAGGAATTATCTTTAAATAACCTATGCTTTATTCACTTCCAAGGGCATAGAAAGCTAAAAATAGGCTGTACTATTTTAAATATGCTTATGTTCCAACTGATCAATAAATGGTTAAGTCCTTGGTGAAGGACAAGGACCCAAATACTGTAGTTCCAGCCCCTTTTCATAACATAAGACAGGTCAAGGTCTGTGTAAAATTGAACAACAGCTGATGATCACTCCATCCATTTTAAGATTACTAGGGTAAAGTGTATTCAGCAACACACTGATTCTGTCACAAGCAATAAATGTGGCAATTTACTCAGATATAGGCAGAAAACATAAACTGCCACATATCTAATTTTTTCTGCTTCTTTTTCATTAGGACTTGAGGCCAGGAGATGTTTCCAGCAAGAGGAACCTCTGGGAAAAGCAATCTGTGGATAAGGTCACTTCCCCTACTAAGGTAATCTATGGGAAATGTATTTTCAGAGATTTACTTTTCTGATGGCTCCTGCAATATACTGTCCCAGCGTCACATGAGAATTATCACAGACCCACAGATCTTTGCCTGCGTGCCCATCAGTTTCTGAAAGACCTGTGTACAGACCTTACAGGTTTGTCAGTCATGTAATGTAAATAGCCCAGACCCAGGGAATGGTTCCCAGACATTCTAGATATACCACATTGGTAGGAACATTGTCAGCAGAAGGCCAGATGGGAAAACCATGGTCTGTATTTCCTTACAAGGTTCCAGCTTGGCGCTACAGTCATTGGAAGATCCCTTAAATAACACTGTCTCCCTGAGTGGTTCCAAAGCTGCTTTCTGGAACCATTTTAGGAGTTTACGTTGCTGTTACCAGCAGCCTAAGACTCAGGGCTGCTAAGGCAAAAAAAAATTAAAATAGTTTAAGGCAAAATTTGCTTTCTATGAAAACTGATGGCTAAGAATGCTTGGATTCCTCATACACTTTTAGTCTTCTGGTCAGAAGGTATACTCATTCTTCAGAAAGGAGGCTCTGAAGAATATTCAGTGATGCTAGGACTACAAGTAGGGCTCCTTCTTGTACAATGAGCTCATGCAATTCCTAACGATAGCCCTTCCCCAGTTCAGTAATAGACCCAGTCTTCATCGGTAGAGGGAAAATTAAAAAGAGAGAAGTCAGAAAACAAGAACAAGTAAGGTTAGAAGAGTCTGTTCCTGGGGTGATTTAGAAATCTGAGGGACAGAAGCGCTTCTTAAGCAAACTCAGGACTAAAGAACTCATCAAAGGCAACTAGAGAATCACTGCATTTCACTGAAGTGA